TGCGGTCTGCAGTCTGGACGTTAGATGTCGCTGAAAATTACACACTGTAGCTTTAAGAGCTTTGAAATATTTTTTGCTGCTTTTTTATGCTTTTATTGTTGCTGAACATGCTGCCCTGCCAAATCAATCCTTCACAGATTTAGAGCGGGCTAATTTCATCTGGAGAGGAGTTCATGCTTGTAGCACACAGTGGTGGTCAGAGGTTTACCTACACTCATCATAGGACCAAATGTCAGAGAGCACTGGTCTTAATGAAACATGAGTGAAAAAGTTTGCAGCATTTAGCTTCTGGAGAGTCCGAACTGTAAGGAACATATAAAGACTAAATATCAGGACTGGGTCTGTGAGCCTAAACATTATTAAGGACTGACAGAATTATGTCAAACTTGTTTATTTGCACAAAAAGTTGTTTTTAAATGGAATTAAATTAGGTTTTAGTCAAACATTAGTGATGTGTTTAAATTTCAGTTTCATTTTGACCAGACTTGCACTGGAAAAAAAATCAATTTTTGCACCAGATTCTTGTTCGTTGAAGTCAAAGTGTGGTCCCTCATGATGAGGGTTTGATTACCTCTGAACACTATTTAAAGCTTACATTTATTCAGACTGAAACTGCTATCAAAGCAGATCCATCTTGAGTTTGTTCAATCGAAGCAGAGTTGACCTGGGGCTTTATTCGTGTTACTGTTGCAGTGTCCAGCAGCAGCCGGTGGAGGCGTCTGCCACCGGAGTACGGATCCACCTCTGAAGAGGAGTTTGGTTCCGGCCGGAACTCTGCAAAGCATGGAGTTCGCTCCCACGTCCGGCCCCATCATCTCGTCCAAAACCGCGGCTCAAAGCTCAGCTCCACCTCAAGCGCAGGACCACCAGGAGTGGGGCAGGGTCCCGGCGGCGTAGGCATCAAACACCGCATGAAAGAGCAAGATGGTTACATCAGGGACTGGACTGCTCACAGCGAAGAAATAGCCAGGTACTGATGCTGGCTGATCTGTGCAGGCCTGATTCACTAGTTGACACTGCAGTATATAATAGCTGAATGCGTGTTGTGCTGTAGAATCATTCTGAGTCCTAAAGAGCCCTGTCTGATTAACAGGTTGTTCCCATGTGTGCGCAGGATCAGCCAGGACCTGGCTAAGGACCTGGCCATCTTGGCCCGTGAGATCCACGATGTTGCCGGGGAGATAGATTCAGTCAGCTCCTCCGGCACCGCCCCGAGCACCACCGTCAGCACAGCTGCCACCACCCCGGGCTCGGCCATCGACACCCGGGAAGAGGTAGGCCCTGCACGCCCCACGCAGCCGGACATACAGGAGAGCATGAAAAAGGTGCCTGGTTTTCTTCTTCTTCTATTGCTTTATTGTGTGTACTTCTATCGCAATTTTCCCGTTTCTTTAAAGGGGTCATTGAATGATTCTATAGGGTATTTGGTGCTGGTCCTTAAGGTCTCTGAATAGGGTGTGTAACATTGGTTGGGCTAAACAAGGCATATTTGTTGTTCTATGAGCCCTAATGCAGGCCTGGTTATAAGCCCTAGAATGAAACTAGTTTTCTTCCCTTTTATGGTATGCTCATGAATATGATGAGCTGTGCGCTGATTGGTTGGTTTACAATGAGCGAAGCTGCTGAGCAAAGACGCATCATAGCAACAAGCACTCACTCACTGAAACATCAAATTGTTGATATGGTAGGGTGACCAGACGTCTTCTTTTTCCCGGACATGTCCTACTTTTCATGCAAAAAGAAATGTCCAGGGGAATTCAAAACTGTCCAGGATTTTGGTCGACTACAGTCCTGGAACTTACGGGAGTCTTGGAATATCTGTTACCAGCCTGCCAGCCCCCCTCCTCCGGCTGAGGATGGGCGGCTCATGCTCTCTGCTGAGGTCCGGTCAGCAGCCCAGCAGCCGACACTGGGCTGCAAAAGTACAGGCCAGAACCAAATAAGGCAACATCACCGAATTGACGTCAACTCGGTGCTTCATTTGAATTAGCCTGTTTTATGGTATAAGTTTAGAATTCTGAGATTTGAAGAAAAATGAGGTTTCGATGGGGTTTGAACTTCTCTGTGCGTCCATTTCAACCACTGAACTATCATTCATCCATGACAATGTAAACTCCGTTTTGCATTCTATGACTCCTTTAAGACTGCTTTTCTGCTGCTTCATAGTTCTGATGTGCTTTTATTTCTCTACATTTACTTTTAAATTTAACTTCTATGAACTCTAAAATTGTTAAAAGCCTAGCTTTCTTTTTGATAAAGTAGATAACCATTTTGCTCATATTCTAATATTCAGTGGCGGCTGGTGGGGTTTTCTCCATGGGGGCTATAAGTTAAAAAAAGACGTATAGCAAAAACCAATCAAACATATACCAAGTTATTACTCCATATTTATATGAATGCCAACAACAAATAACATTATAAAAACAAAACCTAATTTCATGTACAGGTTTATTTTTTTTTATATACGGTAAATCTTGCCTTTCTGAGGCTTTGTGAAGGCAAATCTGTGTTTTGCATGGCCTAATATGGCGTCACAAACCTAAAAATGTAATTACCAATTTAATAATGGAGAATCTATTGGTCAGCTTTATATATTTTTTTTTAAATATAAAAACTATAAGTACTAAAAGTACACTATATTATTTTCCATGTGAATCCCAGATTCTTCATGTCTCTTTGCCTTTTCTAAAAAGTGTTTTAAATAATGGTTCCTATATTTATCCATGCTGGGTTAGATCCTGACGTTAGAAAAAGGATGCAGGGAAAGCAGAATACAGGATTAGCCTCGCTACATGCAGTTAGCCAAGCCTTCTTGCTAAACCAGGTCCTGGAAAAGGACATTTCTTGCAACATTTCTCTCTCTCTCTCCAATGCGTCTCCACTTCCGCAAGTCGACCTGTCAATCACCTGCAAAACCTCTGCGCTGTGGTGGAAGGTGGTGAGCAAATACACTTCCTGTCACCTCAGGTCGCTGCTTAGCAGCGCCCTAGGCTATCCTATACCTTTGTATTGCAGAGGAGCTACTGCGCATGTACAACTTTTAACAAGAGTCAATGTGAAAACATTCTTGCACCCTAAAAGGTAGTAGGCTTAACTAGTCATTAAAGATTCAATATTTATCTGGCACATATAAAAAAATATAATAATATATTTTGAAATATTTTCAATTTTAATTTAAAATGATATTATAATTTTTTTATGTCTTAATCAGGGTCCTAGCGCCCTCTACTGGCCAGCCACCACTGCTAACATCTTTATGCAACTTATTTAGATATAACTGCAAGATGTTTGGTATATGTTGTCCTCCTTTGTGTCCGCTACATCTTTCGCTGCTCTTTCTCAGTTGGTGGATCGAGTGTTCGATGAAAGCCTCAAATTCAGAAAGATCCCTCCGGTTATTTCGTCCAATAAGCCACCAGAGATCAATGGAAAGCCTGTGGAGCACCAACCCAGAGCCCCGGACAGCCGGGAACCACGGGCCTTACGGAGGCGCACCTGGAACCGAGAGGAGGTGAGGAGCAGATAGACAGGAGGAGGTGTTTCAGTTTAAGGTATGCTTTAATTTTTTAATTATGGTGTTTTTTTAGGCGGTGTTGGACAGCCTTCTTATCCACTCCGTGTCTCAGCTGTCGACCAAGATCAGACACTCCGTGGACAGAACAGCAGGAAAGATCAGGTATTTATAATTATTTACAGATCCTTTTAAACTGATTTTTCATCAGGTTGAAACCACAAATTCTGCTGCGTTTTTTTATTTGAATCTAACTTTTAGCCGATATAGTCTTAAAGCTGGTAGAGACGAGCTATACCAGTGGCTAAAGAGGATTATAGAAACTCTAGACTTACGATGGTTTATAACCTCTGTATGTGGCCCTACTGTTGAAAAATGTAAAAAAAAAAAAAAAACTCACTGATGTTGTAAATACAAATGTGTGATTGTTTTTCTTCTCTCCCAGGATCTTGTTCAAAGATAAGGACAGGAACTGGGATGAGATTGAGAGTCAACTGAAGTCAGAGAGTGAAGCTCCACTTCTGAAAACCTCCAATAAGGTACAGAGAGCTATCCGTCTAAGCTGGGATATTTAAGAAGAGCGTAAGTCAAAAATCTGTGGAAGTTATCATTTATTATGATTTTATTCTCTGCAGGAAATCTCCTCGATTTTTCTTGAACTAAAGCGAGTTGAGAAGCAGATCCAAGGTAAAGCAGAACAGATCCTCCAAAGATAAAAGCTTACAAATAAAATGCAGAAGTTAGATTGATTAAATGCTTATGGTCTCTCCTTCCACGTCTCAGTGATTAACGTGATGGTAGACCCAGACGGGACTTTAGACGCCTTGGCCAGCCTCAGCCTGAGCAGCCCGACCAAGTCCCAAACCTCCAAAACCACGCCTCCCTCCACCAGCAGCCCAGCCAAAGACTCGCTGCCAGAGATCCTTCCGGGGCCTGGAGCTTCAGCAGCCTCCACCAGGGTTCAGTCCTCCACCAGCATGGAGGGCAGCACGAGAGAGAGCATCGTAGGTCTGGGTCTAACAAGCGTTGGAGGGCTGCCATTCAGTCGCAGGCGGCCGAGTGGAGAAGAGGCCATTGCACAGAAATGAATAGAGCGGTTTAGATAGGGAATCAATAAGACCCGGGCATGTAGTAGTGCGTAGCTGGCTGACAGAGACACAGTCTTCTCTTTATCCATCGGTCACCATTTTCCTGGCTACTTGTTGACTGATTGATCATCTAAACACCCTCATACAGAACCTGACCCATGATTAATCAAATAGCCTGACAAAAACCATCTCCGCCTCCAGCTGCTTGGCCCAGTAACCCACCTGTCATCCTAATGGATGGACGGATGGACGCTACCAGCGGACGGCCTCCTTCCCCCCTCATTCCTTCCTCATGTGTTTGGACCCTTCCTACACTAACGACATGCCTTAAAACACCTCCTCCATAGCAGCATTACACCTTTTCCACCTCAGACGCCACACATTTTTTATGACTTAATTTTTCAGACAAATTGAATGCATTGCAAAAAAAAAAAATAATCGTTTTAGTTGCAAACAAGGGTTGGAATATAGAAGTATTGAGATTATGCCGGAAATAAAGACCCATTTTAACTCAAAGAAAATGATCTTAATCGACTTATAGCTGCTGACTTGCCTGTTTAACTCCTCTCCCCCTTTTTGTCCTCTTTCTTCCGTAGCTTAAACTCATATCAACATGGCGGCTTCAGCCAGCAGAGCAGCTTGGCTCATTGCTCACCAAAGTGTAGCCATTTTCACACTGTTGTGCCATTTTTTTAAACCAATATATTTTTAGAAAGTAAAAAAAATTTATGTTTTGCTTTGCTGGATGTGAACAGCCATATTCTTTCCTAGTATAGGTGAATCTGCATCCTTATTTATAAGCCGCCATGAAAAGAGGAAGAAAAGAGTTTGATTGCAGCAACTCACACAGAACATTTTTTTTAAATCAAACAATTATGAAGCAGCGATAAAACCTGCTGTTTGTAAATAACTGATTTTTTTTTTTTAATCACTGGTGCTAAATAACTGGTTCCCCTATCAGTTGAGATAAAAATGTGATGTCAGTTTGCCCGTTTTAATTAATTAAACCTCGTCTGACACAAACAAACCTTATTTTTGTAGCAAAACAATCAGTTATTGTTAAACCAGAGCATACATGAGGGGTATGTTCCTTTCTATTTTCTTTATACAGGGCCTTTTTATTTATTTACGAACAGGATTACGGGTCAACTGAAGAGAAAATGTTCTGTGTGAGATTATATTAGTGTAAAAGATTCATTTTTATAAGGCTTTTTAAGGGTGCTAATTGATGTAGAAGGTGCTGTGTCTATTTTTTCCCCCAATCAGCTATATTTTCTAATTTTCTCCTGTGGTATCATGGAACTTCTATTTCACTGAGTCGCTGTTTAAACCCATAGTTTTTTTTTTTGCCACTGTAATCCATAAATCTTTAATAAGGAGTCTCTAAGATAACATAAATCACAAATATCCCTTTTCATTTTTAAAAATAGCTGCCGTCTTTTATGAATTCGCTTGCAAACCCTGAGGCTTCGTTCAGCGTCACCTATGAAGGGTCACTCCAACTTACCTGGACTGTTTCAAACGGCTTGTTTTCCTTTTATTTTCAACAACTCCGCCGCTTTTTTAGTTACTTTACAGAGACTCAGCATTCTAACATCTCCTCAGCTTGTAGTCTGTATGTAGACTAGGTAAAAGATTAAAGCAGTGTATTAGTGCTTAGAAACCTAAAACAATAGTGATTTTAGGTACCAGAATACATGTACTCTGTACTGTACTGTATGCTGATTTTAAATGCCTGAAAGTGCCCGTTTGAAAGGACGGAGGGGCATTGATTAATAAGAAAAAGGTGCAGTTCTTTAAAGGATTTATTTTGCACATCTCATAAAGCATTAAACTGAGGATATCAGTCTGTCTGGTATCAGAAGTGACTGCCTTGCTTGTCTGAACCTGTTTTGTTGCCACTTCTTCCTTCTCCTGATGCCCATTGAAAACCTTAGGGGACTGTGAATGCTAGGTACATGTAGGTATATTTTGTAAATGCTACACGTGTCGTTGAATCAGTGTTCTTTGTATTTTGTTTTTCTTACTTTGTAAAGGAAAAATACTTTTATTTATTTTGTTTTAATATTATGTGGATGTTTTAAGCATTTTATATTCGTTCAACTATCTGCATTCTTACTGTTAATAAAAAAAAGAGCTATTCACTTGTCCCTCTGGTGATGTTTGATTCATATTTTAACAGGCTCAAGGTTAGATTTTCTTTACTATATAATCAAATCTCACAGATAGCCTTCCAAGTTTTCCAATCATTTCGTTGTAGGATCCCGCTTTAAAAGATATAACTTCACTTTTTGACTGGTTTTATTACTTAGCCCTATTTACTCTATATGTTCAGTTTTATTTTCTATACATAATGCACCATAAAATCAAATAAAATTAATCTTTAAAAAATCTTATATATATAGTTAAAGGCTCATTATGTGTTCTGTAGGTGTACAATAAATGGTTATATATATTCCCTTTGATAAAAGTCTCAGGTCCTCTTGGATTTACCTCTCCAAACTATATGTCTCTATTTCTTAGATTCTTTTTTGTCCCATTCTTCTTTACCGAATGTCTAAAGCTCAGTAGGTTTGGATGTACATCTTTAGTATACTGACATTTCTGAAATGTTTTTTGGACTGAGGACTGGGTTCTGGCTGAGCATCCTAAAGATGATAACAGGAAGCCACACATTTGCAATTCTGGCTTTTTTTTTTAAAGGATGGAAGGTGAATCCTTGCCTTATTCCAAGTTTCAGAATCCTCTAAATGCACTGTTACATTTTTTTCCCCCCAGTAGCTCTACAGTTGGCAACTGTGATTCCCAAAGCATGAATCTGCCACCACCATGCTTTAAATATGGAATTCTGTGGGTAAAAAACAGGGTATTCATCTCTCAGGTAATAAGATCTGTTTTTGTTTCTGATCTGATGATCTATCTTTACTTTTAGTAAAGTTCATACAGGCTGTCACACCTTTTGGTGATGCGTGACCTATGAATGGTAACTTTTAAGAAATAAAAGCCAGAGTGATTGAGGAAATGGTCAACCTTCGGCATGGTTTTATTGTGTGCACACGTTGATGTAAGTTCCTACGGTGATAAATGTTTCTAAAGTGTAGGGGTGTGAGAACTTTGCGGTGGGCAGCTCTGTTTCTACTAAACCCTGTTCTATGCTTCAGGCGATTAATCATGTCGACTCAAAATGCAAATGAGTCCACAAATCTTTTGTGAGGCCTGAGGCCTCTTTACATTTGAATACCCGACAGTTTGAATCTTTTCATCAGCAACTATCCCAAAAGCAGAAATCGTTCCCTCCGCTTAGCTCACTGATTTCAAGGAGAGATCTTGGCAAGCACATGACATCTTGTGAAGACTCTGCAACCAAAACAAAATTTTCACAGTGGAAAAAAGTTTTACACAAACGAAACTTCTCATTTTGTCCCAAGCCAGAAACATTTTGAAATATAGCACAACATTTGTGAAATGGTTCTGAAGAAGAAGGAAATCAACCTTTTTTGAAAGTGTTTAAATTAAAAACATGGGAAAAAATGAAGCAAGAACTCATTGAGCCAGGACATTGGCTTTACTCCACTGTCCTGTAGCTCTGGCTAAATGTATAGGAAATTCTGCAGAAAGGTTTAAAAAAACTATCCATCTTCCCATCAAAACTTACCGGTCCATTAGCCTATGCTAAAATAAAACATGCCCACGGCATGATGCACTCAACACCCTGTTTCACAATGTGAAGCTTTCTCAGGGGGTTGGATTTTTGTCTTTTCCCCCCCAAACATAGCATTTTGCATTTAGGTTAAAGAAATCAAATCCTGCGCTCAGAGCCTGCCGTCCTTTCATTAGATAAGTCTAACACAGTTGACAGTCCTGTGGGATCAGATGGATAACCAGGTCTAGGCAGGTTTGCAGATGTGTAACTCTGATTTGATGAAAGATTAAACCAAGTGTTCTGAGGTGTTAAGATATTAGAATAAATTTCTCTCTTTAGAATTTGACTGTTTTTTGTTGCTTAATATATACATACACACATATATATACGTACAAGTTTTATGACAGTGATCTAAAATCCAAACGTTGGACAAAACGACCTTAAAAGCCCTCTGTAAAAAAAAAACCCGACAAGAGCCTTGAGAGTACTTATTTTATTAACACCACAGAGTTTCCACATTTGTGTCACTGTTCCATTCAACAGGAATGATGTCAGACAGGAGACATTGACACGACAAGGCCATCGACACAGAGTGATGAAGGTTAGCCGGGGGGCCATCCCAGTGTGCGCCCACCCAGCACGTGGATGTGGATGTGGTAGACAGACTGGCCTCCATCAGGACCGTCGTTGATGATGATCCTGTAGCCTTTTGACAGGCCTGCCTCCTGAGCGAGCTTCTTTGCAACTATCAGCATGTGGCCTAACAACTGCAAAAGCAAAGGCTTCATTTGAAATACTAAATTTAAAATACCAATATCACAATGCAACAATTAGATTCCCAAATAAACATAGTAATATACAACAGAATAATAAATACTAATTAAAGAGCATACAAGTCTGTTTCTTAAGGCTGAGAAATATACTTAAAATGCACTGCAACTCAATAGGAATGACAACACACTGAAATATTAAAAATGTTTCAGTACAAAATTATTTTTTATTAACTCTTCAAGTTATTAACAAATTGATTCCCCCAATTATAAATTAAAATAATAAAAGTTAGCTATTAAATTAATAAAGTTAAACTATTAAATCATGGCGTTTCTTGTCAGTCGTAGTAATCCAGTTTAAATACATTAGTAAATGGCTCCATCTAGTGGTCAGCGGTATAAATGCACCTAAATTCAATTTTAATCCAGAGAATTATTTAGAATCCTACTTACTGCTGCATCACTTTCCTCGGCTTGAGAAAGCTGGACAATTGGTTTCTTTGGGACTACCAGGATGTGAGTAGGAGCTTGTGGAGAAATATCAGGGAAGGCAACACACTAAAATTCACAGGAGAGAGGAATAAAGACAGTTTGGAAAAGCTTCTGTTTTAAGGCTGTAAATGTGATCAGAATTTAAAATACAGCAAAACAAAACAAAAGTGAAACTGCATGTTTTTTTTTTTATCCAACATTATTTCAAGATGATGCATATCTAAAAATAGCATTGCATGCAGGGACATTTCTGCATCGTTGTGTTCTGCATGTTTTGTAATCAATTATTGCATGCTTGATTTTTAGGCTGCAAGTAAAGCTCTGAATTGGCAAGTAAAGCCAATTGGAACGTGACCAAGTTGCAGCAAGAGGCATAGGTACAAAGGCGCACATACCTCCCCGTTTGAAACCAATTTAAATTAATAACTTGCTTTTCTATTTGGCTCTCAAATATTCACATTTCGCACACTTTTTAGGCTTGTAAATTCAACCAACACACTTTGTCTTAGCCTGTTTTCTTGAAAGCTAGCTCAGAACCATGCAAGCGATCAATCCTGCAGCGAAAGTGAACCACAGAGGGCCTGAGCTGCAATTAAAATCCCCCAGGACGGATCGCTATAGCCGCATACCTGATCGTCCTCATGGATCAGGTTGGCGGGGATTTCTTTACGCACGATTTTTCCAAATATCGTGTCTCCACCCGGCTGGGCAACCTGCGCTTTCGCCGTTTCATCAGCCATGTTAACGTAGATGAAACGAGGGGTGGAGCACTTTCCACTTTTAGTTCGGTTAGAGCACGTCGAACGCTGATTGGCTAGAAAATGACGTAGCCTCAAATCGTTCGCTGATTGGCTAACCTACTGCAATCATAGGAAGTAGGTAGAAAAACTCACCATGGGGTAACTTTTTTATATATTTTTATTTTTTTTAATTAGCTTATTTATTTGTTTATTTATTTATTTTTGGGGGGAAGGGGGGTGGGGATTGTTTTTATACATAGCATTTCCTATCCCCACTCCATTCCAGTAGATGGCGGTAATGCTCATAAACAAGATGCTTGGCATCCGCTATAAAAAAAAGAAGAAGGAAGGACAGGCAAAGAATTGATGAATATTGGGAAATGAAGGAAATATAAAGGATATTCACAGATTAAGGAAAGTATTATCTATTTATCTACAGCATACATAATTAAAAAATAAAATTGGATGTAAAGTAATGTTGCTACACTCTCATGCACAGTAGGTGGCGGTATGCACGTTAAAGTTGCTTGCGATCCACCATACTATAACAGAAGAAGAACTCACAATGGGAACTCGTTTGAAGGTGATTTGTTTAGCAATATTTATGTGTTTTTTTTTTTAACCCTGTTAGCGTAATTATGAAAAAAATATATCCTTTTCAAAAATATGAAGCCGCCCCAAAGCTTCAGTAATATTTGTTTACATTCACAGTTGTTAAATGTGTAGCGATTTGTGCTTCTAAACGCAGGTCCTGAGCGTGTTTAAAAAGCTGCACAGGACGAGGGTTGATGTTTTCAAAGATGATACAAGAGCTCTGACAGGTGAGTACGCCTCGGCAGGAGAAATAACAAATACTGTGCTTTTATACTAATGTGGTTTCTTCTTGTCTTCTCCCTCACAGCTGCGCGGTTTAAGATCAACGAGGAGTTCAAGAAGAACAAAAATGAAACATCAGAAGAAAACATTGAGAAGGTCCAGAGCAAAAATGATCTAATGACTTTACTTGCAACAGGAATGTAAAATCGGTTCCCACTGCTACAAAGACAGAATGCCATATCGGTTGTTACTGTTAAAATGGTCTGTATAGATGTTGTCCTTTTAGAGCAAATGGCTGAATTTAGTTTTTCTCCAGTTAATCCGACTAGCTGCACATAGCATTAGATGTTCATTTTGTCAATTAGGGAAAACAGCTGTTGAGACATTGCTCTGTTTAAAAACATTATTGTTTCCCTGTTAAATCAGGATTGAGCTGAATTTACCAATGGTTTTTGGTTAGCTGGATGATTTTACTGCCCACTCCTAAGGTTTATTACTGGCAAACCTGAATGTAACCTGTCTGACAGCATGAAGTAGCCCAAAAGATTTCAAAAAACAAGATGCCATGCCTCGCTCCACAGGCCTTACCTGTGTTAATTAAACTCAGTGTTCATGGTGATAAAAGAGAGTTCCAATGTTAGCAGCTTTGCTGATCAAAAAGAAAACAAAGGCCCCTTTGAGATTTCTCAAAAACAAGATTTCCAAGGCTTTGGGAAAATATTCTGTAAACTGACAAGTGGAACTTTTCCTTTTCTCACAACTGGCACACAACTAACTTGGCATTTCAGAAAAAAAAAAGTGATGCTAAGGGGCTGTTTTGCTGCCTGAGAAGCTGGGCGAATTGCTGTAATTCTTGGAACCATATATTCTGTTTTTAGCAGGTAATCCTGAATGAAAAAGGCCAGGTATCAAGTTGGTTGCCTTAAGGTCACTTCCACCTCTGATTAGTCAAAGTTAGGCTTAGGGCTGAAACAAATAATCGGATTAATAGATTATTGAAACAATTGTCAACCGATTTAGTAATCGATTGATCGTTACTTGAATTATAGACATTCTTAAGCATGCATTTAGCTGACAGAGCAACCCACTAAGAGCAGTAATTCTACCAAAATTATCAAAAAAAATATAAAAATATTTTGCATTTAAGATTTAAAAAAAAAAAACTCTTTCAACTGTCATTAGGCTTTATGCAGAACTCCTCAATTGGAAAACTTTCAGTTTCTCCTGGTTTAATTTAGTAAAAAGTCTTCTTTAAGAAACCTTTGGCTTTCCGTTTATTAATCGATTAATCAAAAAATTATCAACAGAGTAATCAATTTGTAAAATAATCGTTAGTTGCAGCCCTAGTAAGGTTGTTCATTCTTGGAAACTCTAAAGTGATCCGATTAAATGATTTGTCAACAATACAAGACTAATTTCAGCTTATTTTAAGTTCTTGATGGCTCTTGCTGATGCCCAGGCTGGCCCACTCTTTTATTAGGTGTTGGGGGTTATAGTTTTTCACATGTTATCATAATTTAACATTCTCACCTTGTGTTTCCTCTGGTTCTCTGTAAAATCAAACTTGTTTGGTTTAACCCTTGTTTTTTTTCTTGTTTTTTTTTTTAGATGATTAAAATGGGCTCAGATGTGGAAGCTGTTCTTCGTGAGACAGTGCTGCAAGTGGAGCATGTTGAAGAAAACAAGCTCTGTATGAAATGCTTCTTCTCCTCACACATTGTGGTTTCCTACATAAGTACCTATGTTTGAAATGTCTATGCTATACAACTCTTCATTCACCCTGTATTTTTCCCTTCCCTTCCTTATGTCTCACAGTGCTTCGACCCAGAGACGGTCTCCTCCTGGAAAATGTGCCGTATTGTGATGAACCCAGGAAAAAATCATGATCCTATTTATTTATTTTTGTGCATCAGCAAAGAGACATTTATCCATCACTTCCACCTACGGTTAAATGGATACGACGAAACTGTTTAATGTTGTGATGACCTCCTAGACGAATCTAGTTTGGCTTGAAAAGAAATGTGCCATAAACTTGATTCCATTATTTTCTGTACAGTATTTCATTAAATGTTTTCAGATTTGTTCTGGTATGCTTTAAGGTGCTTGTAATAAATGCAAACTGGTGCAAAACTAAATTTCTGATACTGGAAAATTGCATATGATGTTTATACAAGCTACTTGTTTCATTTTGCTCAAGAAAAAGATATTTATCTGGTTTGTTAGTGATTATGTTTTAAAGTGTAAAAAAAAAAAAATGTTAGATTTCTAGTGAAAAATACTCAGAAGAATTCCGTGTTATTTTTATTTTTTTCTGCCTTCAGAAACAAACTATAAGAAATTAGTTCTTGGGGGTAATGGTGACAAATCTACCACAATTTTTACAGTGTATTTATTATATAATAGGTAAAATATTGGGCTTATTGTGGTACTTTGTGGTACTGCTGACACAAATCAAATTCATGAAATTATAAAGTAAGTTTTCATACTTGTTTTTTTAGTAAAAGCATAGCAGTTTTAAATTGAAGCACAGTTTAAAAGTCAGGGTTAGCTGGAAAAATATTGCATAGTATTCATTTTCCTAGAGGTTGTCATAATTAAAAATACCAAAATTTCATATGCTGTTATATCCAACACAGGGAAATCTAGAACATGATTTCAATATGGCTTTGTGTGACAAATAATTTGGGAACTAGTTATTTTTTTTTTTAAGTAAGTCAATCTTTATATTTTGTAAAGCAGGATTTTTTTTTATTACCTTTTCTGATTTTGAATCCTGCTTCACACGCTCCGCACGGTAGGTGGCGGCATTTGAGTTCAGAAAGTACCCAGCTCTACTATTAATCCAAAGAAGAAGAAGAACGGTATCCTGGCAACGCTTCTCAGTTAGCTAGCTCTTCATCTCAATGGTTAAAAAAAGGTAAGAATCCCCGAAAATAGTTTGTCTTCTATCACGTAGCTCTTCTATAAACATCGAAGTGTTTCTGTAGAGCTTCCTGAGTTTGTTCTCTTATGTTCTTTACAGTACAGACACGTTATGGGAGTTAGCAGCGGCGGAGGTCCAGAACCGGGAGAACGATGCTGAAGAGGGGCACGGAAGAGAGGCGGTCTGCGAACGGACGGTGTTTCTAATGGGGAGCAAGGCAGGGGTCCGTACAGTCTCATGAAGAACCATTTTATTGGTTTGAATTGTTGAAAGACAAACTTTAAACCTTGAAAGGATTCAAACTTACTGCATATAAATTGACTTTTCAGGGTAAAACGTCCATTCTCTTAAGATGTCTAGAGAGGTGAGTAGTTTATTTGACACTGTGTCAGAATAATCCAACAAAAATAAATGATTATATACAAGGTATTTTTATTATTTCCTGTAGTTTGCCACATCGTGTCAAATAATATGTATTTAATTTGGAGTTAATGTAAAATAGTCACACAAATTAGAGGGGAACACATTTGCTGATTTTTTTTTTTTTTTTTTTTTTAACTGCAGCTTTTTTTCCCATAAACTCTCAAGTTCAATCAAATGTATATTTTCTTTTTCTGCTCAAGGGATGAAACCCCGAAGCCAACCCTAGCACTGGAGTATACTTTTGGCAGAAGGAGCAGTGCACACAGCACAGTAAGTGCACACCATGCTATTTTATACTCTCAGACTCCTCTACGAGATTTCTAACAAACTAAAGACGTAGATATGTTGTTAAATATTTCATCGATAAATATCCATTTTGCAAAGCAGTGTAATTGCCTGTGGACAGCAATTATCCAGGCTTTCTTTATTTCTGAGCTCTTATCAGCTGCTTGAAATTGATAAGAGAGTGATTAGAGTATTAACAAGGAGGCTAAAACTGTCAGAATTGAAGTAGATTTAGTTGAGGCTCAAATTACAGCTTTGAATGGTTTCTGCAGGCATTTTTTTCAGTCTGTGTATTAGGTGGACCTTCTAAGCTGAGAGTCTGCGAAATGTTGTCATGTTTTCTTATTAACTGTAGACAAAATAGACTATTTAACAGCAAAAGTCTTCTTTCGTTTGAATTTGAAGTTCTGATAAAGAGATATTTGTGAGAATATCAGAACAACCAACAAAGGTTCTTAAAAAGGTGATTATTTTGACATCTAATCGATCCCTGATATGTGTTGATTACACACACACATACACTGTATAGTGCCTTGCGAAAGTATTCAGCCCCCTTTAACGTCTTCACCAAAAAAATGACAATTTTAGATCTTTATTTTTGAAGCCTGAAATGTGGCAAAAAGTCAAGAAGTTTAAGGGGGCTGGAAACATATATATATTTATATATATATAATGTATTAAACACACAAGTCTATGTGACCAGTGTCTTGAAAATATAAAAAATGTGTTTTTTTTAACCTGTTTTTCTTAAAAAATGTTTTTCCTCGCTGGGAATTATGATGTAAAGTCCTCATGAGCCTTTATAGATCGCTGGCTATTGTCTCATGATTTCTTCTTTCAGCTCAAAGATGTAACCCACACGTGGGAGCTGGGAGGAGGAACCTCACTCTCAGACCTCATCCAGATTCCCATCACGCCACTCAGCATACGGTGGGCCACCTATTGCTGTGTGCTTAACAGATACATGCTTTAAACCAGAGAGGCAGCCTGTTCCTTAATGTACCAACTAAAAGAGTAGTATGATATATCTCTTTCCTCAGGTCTCTCTCTGTTGTGCTCGTTCTGGACCTTTCTATGCCGAACGATTTGTGGGAAACCATGGAGAAACTTCTGCATTCAGCACAAAGTCAGATCGAAAAAGTCTTTTCTCAGGCACAGAAAGCACAGAAGTACGAAGCTGGAGCCAAGCAGCAGAAAGCTGCTCCCTTAGCAGCTCGGGTCTTACCTAAAGATTACCCAGTATGAATGGAGATTATCTGGGTTTCCCTTTTATGTCTGTGTTTTTCTTGCAGGCATTATTATATTATTACCCCAAACCTTTAACTTGCTCTTTCAACAGGACAGAGAATTGATCAGTCCTTTTCCTGTTCCCCTGCTCATCATAGGCAGTAAATATGATCTATTTCAGGTAAATCGCAAAGTTTAAACTGTGAATACTGAATTCAGTTAAAGGAAGCTGTGTGCATGTAGCGAGAATATTAGTCAGTTTTACACCTTGATGAATTACAGTATGTGGGATCTAGTCTGATTCATGTCAAATTAAAGTTTTTTTTTTTTTTTTTTTTTTTTTTTTTCTTTTTTTTTTTATAGGATTTTGACTCTGACAGGAGGAAAGTTATTAGTAAAACCCTTCGTTTTCTGGCCCACTATTATGCAGCATCTTTGATCGTAAGTGAATTTTAGCATGCTCTCTATGCTTTGGCATTACTTTGAGTTATCATTAAAATGTTTTTCTCTCTGTTTTTCTGCCTGATTTGTCCGTTAGTTCACCAGCATTAAATCAGAGAGCCTCATGTCGAAAACCAAGCGCTTCTTCGCCCATCTGGCCTTTGGTCTGGACGTAGGGTGAGGAGCTAATCACAGGCTAATGCAAAGGTTTGAGTGTGAAATAGTTGGATATAAAAAGGTCAGTTTCTATTTCCAGATTTCTTCTGGACATGTAAATCTTTTAGATAAATGGCTTTCATGGCTTCTGCTCAATGTAAATTCACACGTTCTGAAATGATCAACCTTGAATGTACACTGCAAGGGAGAAAATATTGTAAAACATAAAATGATAAAAACACTGAATCTGAGAAACACAACATACTTAAAAAGGGGTTCATTTATCCATCTATATAGTTATAGTGTAAAGTGGGACAGTTAAAATAAGAAATTGAGAAAACAAAATCAATTATCTCACACTTTTAAATCTATCTCACCAATAGGAACCAAATATTTGCAGTGTAGCATTTCTGATTTTTCTATTCAGTTTCCTCTCTAATAGTGTCGAATATTGGATTCTCTAATGCTCTGTCCTCTGCTGTTTCCTGCTTTCATTTCAAAACAGGAAATCCGTGTCCTTTGACTCTGGTAAACCTCTCATCATCTCAGCAGGCTCCGATTCCTTCAGCGAAATAGGTGAGCACAGTGCCACCTACTGGCCATTTGACGCCACACATTTAAAAGAAACCAGGAACTGCAGTGAAATGAAAAGCTGTGGTTAAAACACAAGATGAGACATCTGCAAATGCATTAAAGACTTTGAAATTAATCATATTTGTCACATAACAACCAAATGTAATGATGATATGATTGTTTGTCAATTGTAAGATAAAAGAAAAATGATGCTTTGTTCAAAGTTTCATGGATAAAGAAATTGAAAGCAAGTTTAGATTATAAGAGTATTTTGAACCGTTAAATGTAGAGAAAAATTATGTCACAACGTTATACCTATTAAATATGTGGCTGTGCTCCTAAACCAGTGGTACTCAAACTAACAGCTATTGGAAGAGCTGAACTAATCATAGTGTTAAGTTTAAAGAGCAAAACTTGAGGGAAAATAACATAAACCAGAATATGCAACCCTGCAGCAGAATGCTTTGTGGATGCTCACCTTCAGCAGGTTCAGGCCACATGGTCAGAGCTAATGGGGGAGTAGGGTAGATGGAGCTAAATTCAGTGGAAGAGGTTCACTTTTCAGTTACATTTAAAACCATAAAGGTACAAAGACCGTTACACTGGAATGGATTAGATCAGCACAGATTTATGTGTCAGAAAGGCACAGAGAAAGTCCAGCCATAAATCTAAAGAAAATCTGTGCTAGGACCTAAATGTTGTCATTCATAGAGGCTAATTTTGCAAAGAAAACAATGGGGGAATACTTCAGTCTCTAGATGTGTAAAGTTAGAAGTCATAGGAGTTTATATGCTGTTCCTTCCTCTCATTGATAGCGAACATTTAGAGGAAGGAAAGTTGGTTAATCACATAAAACTTCAATAGAAAACACTGATTTTAGAATTCAAGGCAACAACATGCTGACAGTTTATGAAATATTGTTTCAGGTATTCCCTCAAAATCTAACTCTTCACTTTCAATCAGGCATGTTTTTCAGACTAAAAGTAACAGTTTGAGTGGCAGTGGTGCAGGGGGTTAACCATGAGACCCATGTGTCAGAGGCCTGGTTCCTCGATGCAGCTCTCACCGTTTGGAGTGTCGGCCCTTTGACCTTTGTCTCCTGTACAGAAATAATCAACACTGAAGACCACTAGTGCATAAAGCATATTAGAAAATAGTAACATTGAAGCAGGTTTTAGGTATGCTTATATTAAGCCTGCAATTTTTTATTAAAAATGTTTTCTCATTAGTGAGAAGTATTTTTTTCATTCGCTGTACACAAGAAATCATCTTACTTAACAGAATTAAGAGCTTTAAACCTTCAGCCTGTTTTTTTAGTGAGCATAGTTACCTGTATTTTAGCAAACAGCTGTATCTTTTGTTTTCATAAGCAGGATAATGAGATAATTTGTCTGAAAAAACTGTTCCCTGGTATGCAGGGGCGCCTCCTATGACTCACGTGGACATTGCATCTCTAAATGCGAAAAACCCAATGGATCTGTGGAAGAAGGTGTATGAGCGAGTCTTTCCCAGCAAGGTAGCTGCTCAGCTTTATATTTCAGGTAATGTTAAAGAACCCAAATGCTCTGAATACAGTGGAGTTACTGTTTTCACAGAGCTACAGTGAGCAGAGAGCACTAAAGGATCCAGCCAAAGACCCACAGTACAGTGAGCCTCAGATTGATGCAATGAGAGCCCAGAAAGACCAGGTAACACACTTTCACCGTTTCCTCATTAAAAATTAGCTTCATAACTGCAGTAAAATACCTTTGATATGGACTTTAGGTACACTGTATCTGGTATGAAGTCACGAGTTGGTGATGTTGGGGGTCAGTCTTTGGTCATCAGATATTTCTGCTCATTTTGCTTTGTTGTTTGAACTTTGTCCACCATCATGTCATGGAAAACGAGCATCAATAGATAATAAATAATAATAATGGTTATAAAGAATAGAATAAAGGTATGACATCATGAAAGCATTACAAAGATGAAGATTAAGAAACTAGCTCTATCTCTATGGGATGAAAGTTTAGATAACTGGATGTTTTTATAGCTTTTAATGTAAATAAAACTTGCTAAATATCTGGAGTTAATATTGGGTACTAAAACTTATCTAGTCCAAAAGATCCAACTTCTGAGTAATACATTTTTAGAGGACTACAGCCGGAGGTTAATCAGTACAAAAGATTTAAGCTTGAAAATTTTCATGATACATTTGCTATAGAAAATAATCATCTAGTGACAGCTTACCAGTAGAAAATACCAAAACAGGAAATATAAAATCTTTAGTTTGAAAGAAAAAAGAATTTGACACTTTGATAAAGTAAATTTCAGTCGTCATCATATGGGGTGTAACACATTGTTAGGCATTTAGTACAGGGAGGTATGATAGATAAATATTTGATAGCTGTACAGGTTCAGAACAAGTTCTATGTGTTTAAAGTCTATAGATCAGCTCTAGTCAGGTCCGTCACCACAAGGCAAGCAAACCAAGCGATTGCCTAGGGCCCCAAGTTTGCCTGGGACCCCCAGACAATGGCTGACCTGGTTATAAACCACATCTATTGACAAACAGTTTGAGCGCCAATGATCCCTCAAAGCTCGGCATTCGTCCAATTGCGCACTTTTCGTGAATTCTCGGCACACAAGGAAATCTATGCATTGTAGAAAAATAAACTTTTCGCCCCCTCCCCTGATATCAAGCTATGTTTTGCAGCTCCTTTCATTGGTCTGCGCTGTTATAATTGTTGACGGAAGCAGCTTTCTCTCCCTCTCCCAATATTAACCTCTCTTTTTGCAGCCTTTTTCGTTGCTCTGCTCTCTATTTGGTGATGGCAGTGTTCTTCCCTCCTACTCCCAACTTAAATACCGAAGTTGGTTACTGTATACCAACACCAGTATTGGCCTCCTTCGTTTCTCTGCTATAATTGGTGACGGCTGCGTTCGCGCCCCCTCTCCCGATTTTATTTTTAGACAATATTTTGTTTCTTAAAGGAATAGTACACCCAAAACAT